GGCAAATCTGCGTCGGTGAAGAAGATGGGGTCCCTCTTCACCCTCTTGTCGGCGGGAGCCCTGGTTATCTCCCCCACATATAGGGCTCGGGCCCACTGCTTCCGCTCTCCAGAGGTGTCGCCTCCCTGGGGTCCCCCGAATATGAATGAACATCGATGGTACTTCCGGGGGCCGTTCCCTGGGTCGGCATCGTCTTCCTCGGAGAAGGCGCCGAGCTCCTGCTTCTTGGCAGGCGGTGTCTCCTTTGACGTGGTAGCTTGGTCGGACCGCTGCCACGTCAGGCTCCTCTTCTGCGGGATGCCTCCTTGTTTGCCAACGAATTGGCCCAGGTACCCTTTCTGGATGAGTTCTTCAATTTGCCGCCGGAGAATGACGCAATCATCTGTATCATGCCCTGCTCTCCGATGGAATCGACAATATTGGTCGTGGTTGCGCTTGGCAGTCACCACATCACACTCCTCCGGAAAATCGACTAAACCTTGCTCCTCCGCGTAGTCGAGGATGGCCCCGACCGGCTGAGCAAGTGGAGTCAATTGCTTGACGGGCTGTAGCGGTCCGCTCGGGACGTCCGCCTTGCCCTTGCCTCTACTTTTGTTACCTCTGTACTTGTTGTTTTTGTTGCTAGCTTTACCATTAGCTTTCTCAGCACTCGAACCGGCTTCCTTCTTCTTTTCTTCTTTTGCACCTTCTTCCTCATCTCTTTTCCTCTGCAAGGCGTCCTCCGCCTCGGCTTGCCGGTCGGCACGGCCGAGCGCCTCCTCGTACGAGGCGGGGGGACTTCTGATGAAATCTTTGTAAAGCTCGCCCGATCGGATAGAGTTTGTGAGCATGGCCACCCCGGTCCTGTCATCAAGGCCCTGAACCTTGACTGAATCGGCCCTCCACCTCGCTAGGAAGGTCGACAATGGTTCCTTCTTCCCCTGTTTTAGGCCGAACAGGTGGCTGAAGTTTTTCTTGACGTCTCGGGAGCTCGCGAACCTCAAGAGAAAGCGCTGAGCCAACTCACGGAAATTCGTGATACTCCCGTCGGGTAGAGAGTCATACCATTCACGAGCCGGGCCATCCAAAGTGGCGGAGAAACCGCGGCATCGGATTGCGTCCTCGTACCCCATCATAACCATGTAGGAAAGGTACCGAGATCCATGATGCTGGGGGTCCGAAGCGCCCTTGTATGCTTCAATGGCGCAGGGCTTGTAGCCCCTCGGCAACGGCGCATCCATGACCGCCCGGGTGAAGGGTTCGGGTATCCGGAGGTCGGCCGTGTAAGGCTCCCCCCCGACAACCCTCCTTCTCAACTCGTCAAGGCGCTGTCGTAGATCTTCCACCTCGGCCGGCGGTGGGTTCCCCCGGACAGCTCCAGCGCGGGGCTGAGCATGTCCGGCGGCACCTCCAAGTCGTCCGTGCACGTGAGGTCGGGGCCCCACGTTTTGCCTCTCCGTGGAGCCAGTCCGACTGCTCGCCCGGTGAGAGTGGTGAGAGGGCTCGCCTCCTTCCATCTGCGTTGGGCGCCCCAGCTGGGCGCCCCTCCCCGTCTGCCGATGGGGTCGGCTAGGCTGCTGAGAGACTTCTTCCCCCCGCCGATGGGAGACTTCTTCCCCCCTGTTTTGGTTGGATCCAGAGCGTCGCTCATCACGCCGCCTGGAGGACACCTCCACATCCGCTGGCGTCTGTTGACGGGCAGGCTCATCCACATTTCCGCCAGACACCATCTGTTGGAAATTTTGAGCCAAGGTCCCCAGAACCCGAGTTGCCTCCTGCAGGGCTTCCACCCCGGCATTGAGTCGAGTCGGGTCCATGCGCGGAGCATGACGTCGGCCTCCCCCCGCCGGCTGCGGACCGAGCGCTCAACTTGGGTGTGGTTGAGTGTCGCCCTTAGGTCGCCGTGGCCTGATAATTGGTTCCGAAGGTCGCCTTGGCGCGCCGCCCTCCTGCCATGTGCATGGTTGTCGAGGGCACGCTGGCGGCCAGACCGGGCGGACTCTTCGGTGTGGACTGAGACATGGTCACGTCGAGACGAGATTCCGGCCATCTTCCTGTGTGATTCCTACTCAAGTTATGTGAGAGACAATAGAGGCTCTCAATGAAAGCACCAATGTTGGTCCAAAATAGGACGCTCGTAGGCTTTTAGGAAAGTTACGTACGACACTCAAGCAAGAATTAGGAAAGTACGAATAGGGAAAGTTAGCCAGAAATAGCATATCTGTATTTGAAATTCGAATTGCCTTTTATAGGCGATTACAAATGGTAACTGCCGAACATAATAATGACTAAATTAATTACAACATTAATACGGAATTAAACACATAATTAAGTAGCGCATTGATTGTTGGCCGTTACTCTTCCTGGCTGGCAGGTCAGCCTGGCTGGCAGGCTGGACGCTTGAGCTCCCTCCTGCTGGACTGGACGGTGGGCTTCCCGCTAGGCTGGAGGAAGGCTTCTGACCGGGCTGGAGGCAGGCTCCTGGGTAGGCTGGAAGGCAGGCTCCCGGGTAGGCTGGAAGGCAGGCTCCCCGTTGGGCTGGAGGCAGGCTCCCCACTGGGCTGGAAGGCAGGCTCCCGGGTAGGCTGGACCGCAGGCTCCCAGTTGGGCTGGACCGCAGGCTCCCGGGTAGGCTGGAAGGAATGCTCCCGGGTAGGCTGGACCGCAGGCTCCCAGTTGGGCTGGACCGCAGGCTCCCAGCTGGGCTGGTGGTCGACATGGTCCTGGCTAGGCTGGAAGGCAGGCTCCCGGGTAGGCTGGACCGCAGGCTCCCCGCTGGGCTGGTCGACAGGCTCTCTTGGGCTTCCGCTCCTTGATTGCCCTGGTTGGTTGGGCTGACTCGAGCTCTGGGTTGCTGGGCTTGGGCCCGCTGGTCCAAGTTCGGGGCCTGGGCCGATTAGGCTCTGGGCCTAGTCCCATAACCCCATCAATATGGTCAACTGCCTTATTATTCCCATCTCAGAGTCTTTGGATCTCTTGTCTATGCTTCTACTTTATCTGCTAATAGATCAAAATTTGATAAAAGGGTTGTTAAATGTGTTTTTATAGGATATCCTCTTGGATCTAAAGGATATAAACTTTATGATATTTCTAATCACAATTTTTTTATATCTAGAAATGTAAAATTTTATGAAATGACTTTTCCTTATAAATATAATACTGATCATCCTAAACATAATAATTTTGATACTTCTGACCAAGTTTCAGATTTTAACAATACTAATGACTACACTTATGATTTTAGCAAATCTTTTAATAACTATTTACAAGATCTGATGATGAATACAATATTATGAATATGCATAACTCTACTACTAACAATGACACTGTTTCAGAAGAACAGTCACAAAGGAAATTCACCAGAGTAAGATCTCTTCCTATACATCTTCAAGATTATAGTTATGAATTACCTCATTCTATTACCTCAGGTATTTCTTCTTCTACTCTTTCATGCAATCTTGTTAAATATCCTATTCACAATCATATTACATATAATAGATTAGGACCTTCTCACTCTTGTTTTACACCTGCTCTTTCCAAAATTATTGAACCTAAAACCTATAAACAGGCTGCCAAACTTCCTGAATGGCAGACTGCTATGACTAATGAAATTCAAGCTTTGGAAAATAACAACACTTGGATATTAGTTCCACCTCCTACTAATCAGAATATAATAGGATGTAAATGGATTTTTAAAACAAAATTAAAACCTGATGGCTCTTTAGATAGATATAAAGCGAGATTAGTGGAAAAAGGTTATACTCAAGAAGAAGGTTTTGATTATTTTGATACTTTCTCCCCTGTTGTAAAATTAACTACTGTTAGAATTATTTTGGCTATTGCTAGTGCTAAAAAATGGTTTTTACATCAACTTGATGTAAATAATGCATTTTTACATGGTGACTTAAATGAAGAAAATTTTATGCAGCCCCCTCCAGGTTATTTACCCCCTACTGACAACAGGATTTGCAAGCTTGTTAAGAGTCTTTATGCTCTTAAACAAGCATCTAGACAATGGTTTTGTAAGCTTTTTGATTCTCTAGTTTTTTGGTTATACACAGTCTCAGGCTGATTTCTCTTTATTCACCAAACTTACTAAAACTTCTTTTACTGTTCTTTTAATATATGTTGATGACATTATTCTTACTGGAAATAGTATGGATGAAATCAATGCTGTTAAAGATTTTTTAAACAACAAGTTTACTATTAAAGATATTGGTCGATTAAAATATATTTTAGCAATTGAAATTGCAAGATCTGACAAAGGTATAAATTTATGTCAAAGAAAATACACTTTAGATATTCTCACTGAATATGGTTACCTTCATTCTAAGCCTTATACTACTCCTATGGACTCTAAACTTAAACTATCTAAAACTGGTGGAACTGTTTTGGAAAATCCAAAAACATATAGAACCTTAATTGGTAAATTACTCTATTTAACTGTAACAAGACCTGATATTGCTTATAGCATACAAGTTCTTAGTCAATTTCTTTCCTCTCCTACTTATATTCATTTAAGTGTAGCTCATAGGGTACTGAGATACCTTAAAAATTCCCCAGGTAAAGGTTTATTTTACCCTTGTATTTCTGATTTTTCTGTTCAAGGTTACACTAACTCAGATTGGGCAGCTTGTATAAATACTAGGAGAAGTGTTTCTGGTTATGCATTCTATCTTGGAAATTCTTTAATTTCCTGAAATCTAAAAAACAACAAGTTGTTAGTAGATCTTCTAGTGAAGCTGAGTATAGGGCTGCAGCTAACGCAGTTTGTGAGGCTCAATGGTTATCTTATATTTTTAATGATTTACATATTTCTATTCCTTTACCCATTACTATTTACACTGATAATAAATCCACTTATCATCTTGTTCATAATCCTGTACAACGTCAAAGAACAAAACATATTGAATTGGACTGTCATTTAGTTAGAGAAAAGATTAGTTCTGGATTAATTACTTTGCTTCATATTAAAAATGATTTTCAACTTGCAGATATTTATACCAAACCGCTTGGAAATCCACTGTTTAATCAATTTGCAATCAAGATGAACATGCAAAACATACATGCTCCTCTTGAGGGGGCGTATTAAAGATATTACATTGGACTGTTTAGTTTATATTTTGGGCTTATCCCTTGTTTTATTGGGCTTTCTTTAGTATTGAGTTGTATAAGGTATAAACACCTTCTATTATTTGTAATTAGGTTAACTTTTGAGATCTGAACATATGCTTTCTTTCTTCTTCCGCAAACATACTCTGAACATACGAATTCATCTTCTTCTGGTTTGATTCTTGAGCTCAAACTTTCACATATCCAAACCAAGCCCAAGGAATGTGGTTCAGATCTCCAAGACAGAGTTATAGATTCTTTTCTAAAAATATTATGCATTTTTTTCATTCTATGACATGCATGCCATTGAGTAATGAGTTACTAAATTCCTGAAATAAGAGTAAAACGTTTATCAAAATAGGAGTATTATGTTTTATTTCTCTAAATAAGAGGGATTTAAACCATGACAATATATTACCATAAGTGGCTATATAGTGCTATAGTTGGCAGCATTTTCAAACTCTATTTACTCATATTTATAGAATAAAAATATGGCACTTCTATTTTAAATTTTTTGAACGTTTTAAATCCTATTTGTGGCAATTTCTTTTATAAAAATTATATGGAGTGTTAAAGAAATAGTTTTCCTGCTCATTCCAAACTCAAGCTCAGGCTACGCTGAATTCCTAGTGTTAACAAATGACAACTCAATGTTAAGGGAAAGATGTTAAACGTTGTGAGAGAATAAAGCTTGCCAGCTGCCACCAATGTTCTACGAGAGAAAGTTATATTTTGTCTTATGAATCATACATAGCCAACAAAGAGGAATATTACATGCATGGAAGCATTATTGGGGCATAAGACATAGTTTCACTTGAGATAATTGAGGAATTCTGCTGCAGTTGCAATTGCACCACCTGTTATGGCACTCTTTACAATTTTCTCTTTGTTTTCGCTGCTGGCAATAGATATAAGTGCCCCAGTTAGTGCACCCCCTATCATTGCATTCTTCTGGACCATTGAGAAGCACAAACGAAAAAAGTGGTAAGATATTTCACCATTGAAGCAAAATGCCAGAAATATAATGTCATGTTATGAAATCACATGCAAATATGCCAAGTAACCACTTGGCCCTCCCTGGACGTAAAAGATGATGGAACTGGATGGAAGAAAAGAAAGGTGGCTAAACTAATGTGGTTTTAGTTCAATGAAGTACTGGAGAGGATTTGGTACTTCAGAGAAAGACATAAAAAGGTTGAATTTGATAGGTTGTATAATTATTATTGCAACTTAAGATGTGTTAATCTAAATGCGTCACAATAGCACAAATTTGGTATAAGAAGTTGAAGAAACAGGTGACTCTAATCACTGTATGTGTGTATAAACCCCTCCAAATCCTGCGTGAGTGAGATATGAGGACTATGGAGGTTTTTATATTTCCTCCACTTTCTCCCTCACGGCCAGACAAGAACACACAACCTGTTCACTCTCCTCCCCTCTAAAATCCTAGAACCAAATAAATGGTTACACACTCGCAAGAGAGAGTAGTCACTCTCCCACGTTAATGTAGGAACTTGTGATTGGATTTGCTTTTGAAAATGCTCGTATTGAAGTTTTATTTCACATTATCTTTTCTATATTTAGGGGAGAGGCCTGGGCGTTTCTGTGGGCAGCTGTTGACCCGGAAACTTTTCTATCATCGTGGAGGGAAGAAATCCCTACAATTTGATATAGAATGAGACTTGTAACTTATTTGGAGTAAAAAGTTATGGCCTCACAAAGTAAGCATTGCCAAAAAGTTATGGCCTCAGATCGTATAACTGTACGATTCTACGAGTAAACTCGCGATTTTGACTACCAGGCTGTGTGCTTGAAATTAAAAGAAGGTTTTACTTGAAAGAGGTGAGGTCAGTGATATTACCCAATCTCTTTCTCCACGGATTCTCTCCACCCCGAACTCCATTCCAGCATATACTCCGGCTACAGTCCCTGTAAATCTGAAAATTCAGAAAAGGTATACCACGACTTCTTCTTTTTGCGTATGCAAGAAATGGCAATTAGCATAGAGATGACTCACCCCAATAAGCGCCTTCTTTGCACATTTTCTTTAACTGCAACCACATAAAATCTGGTCAGAAGATAACACACACATGCAAATATTATAAACATATCATGTGCATTCTCACCGCATGTGAAAGTTTGTCCTGTGAAACCCTTCCTGTAATAAATAAATTAAAAGAAAAACACACATTTGAATCAAGATTTGGCCAGCTAAACAATATGTACTTCTTTACAATGCATGTAATAAACTAGCTTTGTCAAATAGTTCACAAAACAATCATGTTCCAAGTCCTTTTAAAGGACATTAAAATGAATTTAACTAAGATCCTAGCTAACACAAAACCAAAAATAAACACTTTTATTCTCAAATCAGTGGGTCATCCCAAAAAAGTGATAATTTCAAGTTGATAATTCCAAAAAGAATGATAATTTCATTCATATAAGCAAAGGGAAAATGACATTTGTACCAATTTTGTACATGTTTGCATTGGATAAACAATTAGTTTGGTCTTTTTTTTTTCAGTATAAGATATCAATCTGGAAAACCTGCAACTCAGGTTGATTTGTACACTCATGTGTTTTCTGCAGAGATATCAACATCTAGTTATAAGGAAATCAATGCCTATGAGCACGCATTGATTATCTATGCAGAGACAAGAAATATTACCATTCTAAGGAAATCAATGCATGTTCAATATAAAGTTCTGAAATTGTATTTAGACTTCATTTACCAAATATTAAGGGACGATTATATAATTCAAAACAACACTCAGATTGAATCCAAACAAGCGAGCTGTTCATTTGATCCTATCTCAGTGTATTGTGTTCCATTTTAAGCCTACATTTATACTATGTAAATATAAAAATGGTTTTTTCCAACAGACATTTTTTTGTGTTCCGGGTAACTCTAAAAACAATAATGTATTAGGTACATCTTTTTACCAAGGGTTTTGAAAATATGTATAAAAAGAGTACAATTTTCTGGTACACCCAGCATTGAAGCAAAGCAAAAAGTACCTCGTTCTACCATGTAATAAGATTCCTCAGCTGCAGTTTTGACAGCAGCTACCTGAAATCAGCCAAAATAGCAACTTTACCTGGGTGGGTACTGACGTAATGTGAGTAAAGCTGGAAGGGGGGGAAACATGTACAGAAACGGAGAGGTATAACGGGGTGGGGTGGGGGTGGGGGTGGGGTGGGGTGGATCACCGTCCCAATCTTCAAGAAAGCATCGACAGTGTGATTGAGGAAGGGATTGCCCATGTCGATAACAACGTCGACCTTCGGCGAAGTGAGTGAACCTGCAAATCTGCTCCTCGGCATCTTCTCCTCTGACCCTTTCTGAATCTTGATAAATCAACCGCACTCTGGACTGGCCTCGCCTGGGACAGCTTGCACTATAAAAATCACACCTTTTTGTCATTTTCTTTGATATTTTAAGCACTTTTTGTTTTTTATCCTCTTTGCTCACGGAGTTAAATCATTAATCACATTATTAGCCACCTAACAAATGTGTAATACTACCCTTTTTTTACGCCCGTTACTTTTAATTTGGACAGTAGCGGCGCTAAAAATCCAATCAAAATTGGGAACCAGTTGTCTGCTCAAAACATAACTATATTATTTTCAAACTTTCTGTTTTCATTCGTTCTAAAATTATTATTTTTTTCCTTTTCTGATAAAAAATTTGTTATTCACAGTAATTCTTACACATTTTTACACGTTTCTTTCCTCTTTGCACAATTTTTCAGTACACAAAACACACTATCTTAATTTGTGTGCATTGTCAAAGGAGATAATACGCACGGAGCAAGTATCAATTACGGAGGTATTTCTTTCTTTTGTGGTGTGATTTATAGCAAATGGATTAATACTGAAAAATCAAATTCACTAACTATACCAACGAGTAACGCCTATGCTTCATGATCAACTGATCAAATATATGAACCTATTTTACGTTTTACACCAAACTGAATATAATTCTTATTTTATTATATTATTTTTAAAATTACTAAAACTAATCACATTTAAAATATTAATAGTAAAAACACATGAATTTGTGTTTGATAATAGTAAAAAATAATAATTAGAGTGATTATATTAAGGACCCAAATTGCTTCATGAGTAGGGGTGGATTCGGTTCGCGCCACCCGGCCGGTCCCGCTACTGTGCGGGCCCGGGACCGGCCCGGTCTGGCGGTCCGGGACCGGGTGTAGACCCGAACCGGTGGGGATGGGCTCGGTTCCGGAAATAGTTGACCCGGCCCGGTCGGGTCGGGCCCGGGTTCGGGTCCAACGTTCACTTTTAAAAAAAATGTTTTGGGCCAAAATAGCTGTTGGGGGGTGGGCTGCAGGGGGGTCCGGGGGTTTGGGGGTGGGGTGGGGTAAAAAAAACCTATAAATACTCCTAATCTAAAACATTTTTTCATCTCTTCTTCAATTCTTCCTAAATCCTATTCTTTACTCACTACTCTCTAATTCTCTTATTCTCCAATATATTATATTTATTATTTATATATCTACTTTATATTAATTATCTGATTATAATTTATAAATACATATATTATAATATTATATTACTTATATTTGTTATCTAATTATATATTACTTATACATTTATTATATCTATTAATATAGTTGGAATTAAATCTAATTAATTTGAAGTCATTCTATTACTCTCATCCGAAAGTCCGAAAGAGGTACGAAATCATTCTATTATTTACACTTGTTTAATTTTGTATTAACGTTACTTGAAAAAAAACTAGTTAATTCTCATAATAGTTAAAGTTAAACTATAATAATTTGATTGTTAGCAAAAAAAATAGATTGTACAAAAAACTAGTTGTAATTCTCATTATAGTTAAAGTTAAAGTGTATTAATTTCATTGTTAGTAAAAAAAAAAAAGGTTGTACACAAAACTAGTTAATTCACTAGTTAATTTGATTAAAGTAAACTTTTAAATACTAATTTGCTATAACTCGAATTAATAGTTAGATTAATAGTTAATTACTTTATTACAATTTTTTATTAATTGCTACATTTGACTCTAGTTTAAAAAACTAGTTAATTCTCATTATAGTTAAAGTTAAAGTATATTAACTTCATTGTTAGTAAAAAAAATAGGTTGTACACAAAACTAGTTAATTCACTAGTTAATTTGATTAAAGTAAACTTTAAAATACTAATTTGCTATAACTCCAATTTTTTGTTAATATATTTTTATTAATATATTTGCTGCAATTTAATATTTGTTACATTTTTTAGATGGATCGTCCTAGATATTCGGTTGATATGGGTAACCTCGAGCGCAACCGAACGAAAGAGCTTGCGAGGAAGAGATCCCGCAAAGTTAAATCACATATCGGCTCTTCTTCTCAAGGTCAAGATGATTTTGATACGGGTTACGCAAGGAGGGATGAGGATGCGATGACCGACGAACAACTAGAACAAGAATTGCACCGACATAATTCCCGCTTTTTTCAAGACCAACCGAGTACCATTGTCGAAGAAGAGCTCGAGGACGACGATGTGGAGGAAGTAATTCCGGAGAGCCACGACGACGAGGAGGAGGAGGGTGGCGGCAGCCATGACGTCGACGAGCCTGCCTCATCCCAAACCGGTACGAAAAAAAGTAAATTTGAACTAATGGCTAATAATTTTTCTAAGTGGAAGGACCCAAACACCGAGAATTGGACCGCAACTTGCAATTGGTGCAAGAAAAACTATAGCTTGGGGATTTCCGGCGGATACGGATCCGCCACAAGACATCTTAAGTCCAAACACCCGGTGGAGTATGCAAAATTAGGCGGCGGAACAAGGAAGCAAACTCAAATATCGAGGTTTGCAAATAACCAACAAGCTTTTTGTAATTTCTCATACAATGATGCACAAAATTTGACTGGTATGACTAACTTACTTGTTGAAGAAAATTTGTCTTATTTGTTTTCTAAAAGTCTTGCTTTTCATGATTATGCACAAACTTGTGTAAATCCGCGATATAGAGGTTATAGTCGCAAAACGGTTAAGAAAGAAATTTCAAGGCTAGTGATATGTTTTATGCATTATTTAATGAGTTTCATGCACAATATGGCAATGCGCCCCCTCCCCCGACACAAACATCATCTAAAGGAAAATCAATTTTCAAATCTACATTTGCCAATCTTATTAAAAACGAAATCAACTCCCGCTACGCAACAAAGCACAATTAATGAGATTTCTTCATATTTAACATATGATGTTGATTTTGAAGAAGATGATGATTTTGACGTACTAAACTGGTGGAAGGGAAAAGAAAGAATGTTCCCGGTTTTAGCAAAGATGGCTAAGCAAGTGCTATCAATGCCGGTTTCAATGGTTGCTGTGAAACAAGAATTTAGTTCGACCGGCAATGTCCTAACGCAATGTAGAACGAGATTGAGCGCAGAATCTCTTGAGATGCTTATATGCTACCACGATTGGTTGAAAGCGGCCCGTAGAGCTCAAGAAATTGACATCACCTCATCCCAACACTTTATGGATGAATCTACAACCGAGGGTGACTCTACCTATGTCGGAGATTCCGATTGAATGATTGATTAGTATTTCTTGTTTTAATTTTACCTTCAATTCTCAATTGTAACTTGTAAACTTGTAGTTCATATTTCAAATAAATATACGTTCATTTTTTTATATGTAGCATTTTTTTTGAATTCATAAAATTAATTAATTAATTTTACATTATGTAATTTATTCAAAATAAAACATACAAAAAAAAAATGAAATCAAAACTCAAAAGCCCCAAACGGCTCTATTGAAATTTGAATCAATAGGGCCAAAATAACCGTTGGGTGTGGGGTGGGTGGGGGTGGGGGTACAAAAAATTCTATAAATACTTTTATTTTCTAACATTTTTATACACATCTTCTCCAACATCCAATCTCTAATCTCCATTCTTCATCTTCATCTTCATCTATTGTAGAATTATTATATCTACCATTTTTAAGATGGAAAGTCAAGATACCATTATACAGTATAATTTTGATAAGCAGGAGGACCGGAAGACCGGGATGTGGTACGCAACTTGCAAATGGTGCGGGAAAAAATGTAGCATGAGGGTTTCAGGCGGATACGGGATGGCAATGAAGCATATTAAGTCATGTGACAAAGCCAAAGGATCGGGAGGTGCGGGAAGTTCCTATTGATTACAATTTACAAAATGTATGTCTCTTGAAGTTTGTTTTAATTTTCAAATGTAATTCCTATTTCATTTCAAATAAATGCACTTGAAGTTTGTTTTTAATACTTGTATAAAACTAGGGCTTTTGCCTTCAATATTACTAAATTAAAACCAATTTAAAAAAATGTGACCATTTTTATAAAAGGACAAAAAAGTGACCAAAAAGGTGATATATTTGGAAAAACAATGTCACTACCCAATTTTAATGTCACTGTCATATGTCACTGTGACCACCGTCCGTGTCACTGCGGCCACCATCCATGTCACTGTGGCCACCGTCGGTGTCATTGTGACCTCCGTCCCCGTCACTATCACCACCATCGATGTCACTGAGCACAGGAGAATTTTCCGGTGACCTTTCCGGCGTTCCATATATCCCTCACCGCCGCCCGCCACCACCCCAACCCCCTGTCTAGCAGCCTTCCTAGCCCTATCTCAGCCCTAGGCCACCGTCAGTGCCCCTCACACCCTGCCTCCTTTCTAGCCGCTGCCCAACTCACCCCCCCCCCCCCCCCCCACTGCTTTAGCCCCAAGACCCCTCCCCATCCTCCCAAGCCCCCTTCCACCCGCCACCCAACTCACCCCCACCAGCCACAGGTCCCCAACCTAGGCTACCACGACCCAATTTTAAATGCACCCCGCACAGATTGGAGAAGCCCTAGCCTCACAATTGTCGCCCAAACGCAAGGAAACAACTCGAATCGGCGAAGAGTAGGCCTAGATCCAAAATCGGTGAAGAACACATCGAGCCTCGTCGATGTTGCACCTGGATCGACGGAGATCGGTCGGAGCAAGGAGGTTAGATTGATGGATGTAGCAGGGAGGAGAAATTGATTGATGAAGCAGGGAGGTGACGGCTCTGACCGTGTAGGGCGACGCCGACGGAGACGGCGATGGCTTGAGAAGATGGTCGGCGACGGGTAGGGATGGATTCGGTTCGGGCCACCCGGCCCGTGACCCGGCCCGGCCCGATACTGTGCGGGCCCGGGACCGGCCCGGTCGGGCGGTCCGGGACCGGGTATGGACCCGAACCGATGGGAAGGGGCGGGGGCGGGCTCGGTTCTGGATTTTTGTGACCCGGCCCGGCCGGGTCAGGCCCGGGCCCGGGTCCGGGTCTATTTAAAAAAAAAACTTTTTTTTGTTTGGTTTGGCTACTAGCCGTTGGGGCCTTGGGGGTGGGGCTGGGGACAACCCAAACGGCTATATAGCCGTTGGGTGGGGTAAAGGGGGGTCCGGTGGGGTTGGCTGGTGGGGGGTGGGGGGGTGGGGGGTAAAAAAACCTATAAATACTCCTAATCTTAAACATTTTTTCATATCTCTTCTCCAATTCTTCCTAAATCCTATTCTTAACTCTCTACTCTCTAATTCTCTTATTCTCCAATATATTATATTTATTATTTATATATCTACTTTATAGTTTATACTTAAGAAGTTAAGATGGAAAATCTAGATGCCATTATACGGTATAATTTTGATAAGCAGAAGGACCCGAAGACCGGGATGTGGTACGCAATTTGCAAATGGTGCGAGAAAAAATGTAACATGGGGGCTTCAGGCGGATTCGGGATGGCAATCAAGCATATAATGTCATGTGACAAAGCCAAAGGATCGGGAGGTGCGGGAAGTTCCGATTGATTACAATTTTCAAAATGTTTATCTCTTAAAGTTTGTTTTAATTTTCAAATGTAGTTCCTATTTCATTTCAAATAAATGCAATTGAAGTTTGTTTTTAATACTCGTATAAAACTATAAACTATAAAATATAAATTATAAAAAAAAATTAACCGACCCGGCCCGAACCGGACCCGACCCGTGACCCGGGCGGGTGGCCCGGCCCGAACCGGACCCGTCCAACCCTCGGGCCGGTCCCGGGCCCACTATTCTTGAACCGGCGGCCCGACCGGGCCTAGGCCCGGCCCGGGCCCGACCCGGCCCGAATCCATCCCTTGCCGACGGGTGACGGGCTGAAGAGATGATCGGCGGCGATGGTGTTCTGCTCCTGGGGAGTTGCTGTGTCTACGGGCTAAGCTCGTTCAGCGCAAGGGAATACAGAAAGTTTCCCTGGTGACTTTTTTGGAAAATGGAATTTTGGTTATATTTTTGTCCAATGGAAGTTGAGGGATAATATTTGTGCCATTATTTCATAAAACTATAAAGTATAAATTATAAAAAAAGTTACTTTAACCGGCCCGGCCCGGCGGGTGGCCCGACCCGTGACCCGGGCGGGTGGCCCAGCCCGAACCGGACTCGTCCAACCCTCGGGCCGATCCCGGGTCCATGACATACAAATCGGCGGCCCGACCGGGCCTAGGCCTGACCCGGGCCCGACCCGAGTCCACCTCTAGGAACTAAATCACAAGTCGCTTGAATAATTGTCCCAATTCTCAACCATATAAATTCACACACTAGGAGTAACTTATGAAAAAAATAATGGTTTTCACTTTAAAACAGTTAAAAGTAGTGTTTCTAAACATGTATTTCTACTTAAATTAAATATTTTAAAATCAAACGCTAGAAGAATGAAATTGGTGCTTCAAACTGTTTTTACTTTTTTTGTATAAAAGAAACTCCTTTACTATACACTAAGAATTTCTTTCTCGAATCATATTTCAATTATTATCTACTTTTATTATTAAACATTTTTCATATAATTTATATGATAAATTACTTTTCAAAAGTAAAAGCAAATAAAAATCGAAATAATTAGATATCTATAACTAAAACAAATATATTTACAAAAACATGATTATTGACTAAAGTAATAATGAAATCTTAGTAAGTCATGTTCAATTTTTTAACATAAGTTACCATAACTATTAGTCATATTTCTGTAATTAAGTTTTATTTTGGTTATATTTTTGAAAAACCCCCATAAAAATACCCCTCAAGCATGGGCCCACTATACACAAATGTTGGGAGAACAACCACTTAATTAGACAACTTAAACCATATTTTAACTCTTTTATTTGAGGCATTACTTTATGCTGACTAAGCGAGGGCGACAAGATCATCAATCCTAAAACCCCTCAAATTCCTCTCTCTTCAACTTAAACCATCCCAAAAGGAAGGATAATGTGAGAAGTATCCCTTGGAGGTCCATCTTTTCAGAAATTGCTCATGAATTTATCAATCAGTCATATATATAAATCCAATTGAAGCCTTTATTGGTTCGTAGATGAGCAGCATTCTCTTTATCCCAAATTAGTGCAGGCATTCAGAAAGCAGAGTGCATGAAAAATCTTTTCTTCCAGGCGAAGAGATAAGTGAAACATGGCAGATCAAACCTACTCTCCTTGTCATGGTAGACTGGCATGGAATCCGCCCTTTCCTATCTTTCGCAATACATAGTTTGCTTAGTGATTTCATAACCATAGCACAATCTGCAGGGTGAAGAGGCACACATGAAGAAAATGCAATGGAATGTTTCAATACTTTGAGATATCCAGATGCCTTGGACAATCCAAGTTGGCAAATTGCCAAGGCTACTACAAAGTGATAAACATGACTTTCTGGAGATCATCACAATCTACTTCTCAGATTGGCAAAACATCATGGTGTGCAAAAAACTTGTAAGAAACTGATTGTTGTACATCATGGGTGTGATGTCAGTAAAATGTGATACTGTAGAGGAGCTTCCTACGATTCTTTCTCTCAAAATTGTTGACAATACTATCAATTGTCTCCTCCCAATTTTCGACAGCATCAATCTGCAAAATCATCCAAATAAATAAATAAGAAAAACCGGTTATTTTGTAAGATATGATCAGATAGATATGCTTGACCGCAAGCAAAATTAGTGTGAAATGTAAAAAAGAAAGATACACGAAATGTATACCTCTTGGCACAATGTTAAAGCAAGACGTCCTCCTATTGCTGCCTCTTCGTGGTTATCTTTTACTTCTAGATTGATTACTAGAGCAAGCTTCATGAGAGGTTGATCACGGTTATGGAGGTCTGCACATACAGTTAAATTACATGTTATGTAAAACAAATGTGGAGGATGAATCACAAGGGCTCTCAAAAAGCTCAACACCATTGTTTAAAGTTAGCCCATGAGAGAGAGATACACTGCCATTCAACAAAATTCTATGCTTTCAGGTGTTATTGTGCCATATTCAGCATACGAAAAATTTACTAGCTAGCAGAAGGGGCCATTAGGTAAGATTTTGTTTCTTTTTTTATGTTTTCAGATCAAGGCCTACCCAACCCAAACCCACCACCCCACTTATGCTAACTACCACAATTACATTTTAAATTTATATTTTCCCAGATGAGCTCCACCCTCCTTTAAACATGTATGCACTTCGACCTCGCATCTTGAGCCCTCATTTTGAAATGATCTAATCTTCATCGGCTCACCAATTACATCAATACAGACAATATATGAACCACAAAATGTTCGTGTCTATAGTTTCGGTTAGACAAAACTCTGAGTATACTAAAAAACTGCAAGAGCAACGCTATGTACTAGTAGTTATAACAGTTTCAGAATTCATATTCAAGCTTCTATGATCAATATATAAAGGGGAAATTCATACCAATAATCCGTACTTTTGGTGGTTCTATAATAATAATCTCTACTGGAAAAGTCAATACAAATAATCCAAACTCGTAAATGCGTCTACATATATAGATTAAACCTTCATAGATAGATAATTATCCTTCAAGAAAATAATCATAGTAATGATATGAAAAAACACTAAACTCAAATTTATGACAATGGTGAACAAAGTCAATATTGTATCCTTATATATTAAATATCAAAAAGATTAATCTAATCTATCTATGTAGACGTGTTTATGAGTATGGATTATTTATATAGACATCTTCGGTAGGGATTATTATTGTGGAACCACTAAAAGTATGGATTATTGGTATGAATTTCGCCATATATAAAAGGTAAGTTGAGGCAATACAATAAAGTGCGGGATGAATAGGAATATGTGATCTTTTAGTATATAGATAGTTGATCTTATAATCACAATTCTTTTCTACCCTGGATTGCTATAAACACTTCAACCCTTTAACTGGAAAAAAGTTTAGGAAAAAGAACTACATGAACTACTGCTGACTTCTTAATCCAATAAAAAGAAAAACTCAAAAAGGTGTGGAGTATCAATTGATATATCATGTGGTAACAAAAGCAGATATAGGAACACTCTCTATTGATTAATAGACAAAAGAAAGGAAACGCATGCAAGTGATGCAACCCTATCTAGCAATTTCTTGTCAATAAATGGAGCTGCAAAAAATCCCCAAAAGAGAAAGAGCAAAATTAAGATTGTCAAAAAACAAGGACGACTAAGCTACCATACAGACCTTCAATCACCATATCAAACACCTTCTCTTCGAAAGTAAGCACTACATCAAAAGGCCCATCATCCGCATTATCCTGCCAACGTTGAGGTGCAAGCTTTACACCCAAATTTCTTTTTAGCATGGGCAGTATCCCATTTCTCTTGTACCTGTATGACCCTTTCTATTAGTAAACTGACTAACATATGGCATTGCTTGATAACTTATGCTCAACAGGATAGAATTAACAATGATGAATAATATAAGACCGAAATTTTGAGATACTACAACCAAAACTTAGCTTAGCGATTATTGTGGTTACCTTATCTTGAAAGGACTAATTATTTATCAATTCGATAAATAAAAATAAACCCAATAATGAATGCAAATTGGACAAAAACCCTAAATAAGGCTTCTTTTTATCCAATAGAATTTTCAATCAAAAGAAATTCAAAAACTGGAACATGAGATAATGAATGCAGTAATTAAGTATATAGGCATACAATTCCTGGTCTTTGCGACGGAGTTCATCGAACATGAGCTTATAAGGAGTGCCGAAGTCATATACGTTGGGTTCTCTGAGGGAAGGTCCGGGGAGCTTCACGTGCTGGCCAGTCCCGTAGGAGGAGACATCGAAACCCTCCCTCTTGAGAAGCAAATGCGCCTCCATGCTCCGATTCTGATTCGACGAGCACACCATTGCATACCGAAGCTTCATCGTCGTTCGTTTACGGGTAGCAGAAGAAGAAGTAAGGCCTGACACGGTGAGTTCAAAGGTTGATACGGGAGGGCTTCCCTCCAATTTTCTTAACGCCTGTGTTCAAATAACACCACTGTAAGCTTCGCCGACGTACACAAGACACCGGCAAGAGAGAGAGCTGCGAAGAATTCCGATTAGGATATTTGTCACTGGGTCCGACCCGGTTGTAGAGCAGCCGGTCCCGGTCCAAATTTTAATAAAATCTTTACCGGGTAATGTTAGGGGTGTATTGTACTCTATTTGGAATTAAGATGTTTTAAGATGTTTTCGGTCTCAGACTAGATCAATCAAATCAGATCAAATCAAATTAGTCCAGACTTCTGTAGTTATAAAACACACAGAGACCAAACGTTTGTCAGACCAGGTCAGATCAGCAAATTTCAGTCCAAAAGAAAACATCCTTACTTGCATTGAAATTTGTTGATCTGGTCTGTTATGTTTGAATTTGATCTATTTTGGTCTAAAGTGGTCTGGTTTGGTCTGATAATGTCTAATCTCTGTGTATTTTATAACTACGGAAGTTTGGTCTTATTTGATCGATCTGGTTTGATCTGTTTAAGTTTGGTCTAGTTTGGTTTGGTCTATTTAAGTCTGATCTGGTCTGGGACTGAAAACAATTCAAGTAAACAAAATTAGTGGTGAAGTTTTAAAGGTCCATGAATTTTAAAAGTTTAGGTGTATTAAAGAGTTCCAAATTGAAAAAAGATAAAAAAAATACTAATTTAAATAGTTTTTATTCAATTCCAGTTCTGTTTTTTGGTAAGCTCAGGTGCAACAACGTCCATCATTCATTCATTCATAATCAAGCGAGCTTGAGAAACCCTAAGAAAGTCATACCATAAATGAAACGATAATGTAGGATCACTTCTAGAAATATGATGTAACCAAGTGATAAACTATGACCAAGGCCAGCTAAATAATCAGCAATGTGGTTGCCTTCCCAATAAATGTGTTCAACCATAAGTATCCAGTCCCGATCCAAATATCCGATAGCTCAAGGAAACCGATGTTAGTATATACTTCCTCCGTTCTTAAATAAATGCAACGGTCAACATTTCACACTTGCCGAGACACAACTTTGACCATTAATATAAATGATTTTGTATTAGTAAAAAAATTAAAAAAATTAGATTATGAAAATTTACAATGAGACAAGTTTAACAATATTTTTTTCATAAAATAATATTATTACATTAATAAATAAAACGTAATCAAAGTAGAACATGTGAATAGTGTAAAAGTCAAAGTGTTGCATTTATTTAAGAACGTAGGTAGTATGTCCTAGCGACAATCAATTTTTAGAGATATATGTACTTGATCACATTCAGTTTTATATATTTGATATATACGGTATTACACATTGATGATTAAGTATTTCGATTGTCAATATCTTATTCATAATTGTGTTCCCTTGGACTTATGTTGTCAATAAGTAAGTGGGAGCTTACATGATATAACATAAGGTCCTAAAATAGCCCCAATCAATGATCATCGAGAATGGGATATTGATGATATGCGATAAGATTGGTATGTGGACTGCATCATACTTTTAGAAAGTATAGTTGATCTCACAACTATGAGTTCATGTAATTCATACTTAGATCTAACTTAGATCTGTTATTATTGTTATATTCGTTGTTTTGTCATAATCAAGGAAGATCTATTTGGAAAAATTTTAAACTTCCGTTGCCGTACTTTCGAGGTACGTTACATCAATTTCCTAACAGTGGTATCAGAGCCAAACTGATTTTAATGACATTATACGAATTTTGGTTGATTATTTTTCTGTGTGGATCAAAATACGTGTTTCTAGACATAGTATTCTAGCCGAAATCGTTTTTAAAATTTGATTAGGTCTGTTTGAGAACAATTTGAGAACTGTATGTGCACATGATTTGTTACGTAATTGATTTTAAATTTTGGAATTAAAATCTAAGTACTAACTGCTAACGGATCACCTAGATAAAAGAATGTTTTTTTTTCTTTTCTCTTCCGATCTGCTCGCATCAGTTCTGATTCGATTTTGAAGACCGGCTAAGGAAAGTCGACGACTTCTGAACTAAAATTTCCGATGTTGTGGTTGATGAACGCTGCAGCAGTGGACGCATTTGGGTTGTGCGATTAGTTAGTGGGACCTTCTTTCGAAATTGTTTGTTTAGACCAAATTCAACATACTTTGGGGACCTTCCTTGCAATTGTTTTGATGTGTCTAATACGAAGTAGAATTGCTTGATCTAAGTAATTGTGTTTTAGTTAAAACTCTTCCGAGTTGGACTCTAATTTTATTAGGATGTGAAAGTGTGAGATATGCTCAGATTTCAACAGTCGATTAATCTATGAATACTATGAAGAATTTAAACAGTAAAAGAGAAATCTCACTAATAACGTATACCATGTATATATAATGATGAATTCATGAAGAACAATTACACAGTACTCGAACGAATAAGCTTGAGAGAGAATAATATGCGGAAACAGATTGTGTAGAGACTTAGAGAGCTAATTCGGCCATCTCATCCTGTATTTATAGGTGAGAGACTCGACCAGCCCTATTACAATTAGGAAATAAGATGGGCCGTGCGTGTGGGCTATGTAGAGCATTTAAATCAGGCCTAATTCTCTCTCAGCTTAAATAAATTAATTACAAATAAATTGAACACAATAAATAATTATTCTAACATTCCCCCCCCCCCCCCCTTTGTGTTCAATCTTTGATGAATCGCAATTTATCTCTGAATCTTTGGCAATGACTTTCGGTAGCCTAGAATGACTTCATAATGTCCGAGATGTCTTCTGAATTGTAGTCTGAATCTTATGGCTTCGACAAAGTCTGTAATGAGAGCAACTTGGATTGGGTCATCTGGATTCTTGGATTTTAGTAGCTCGATTGCAGCTTCTCGATTGCAGAACCCGAGATGGTCTTCAATTATACTAAATGTACCATCGCAGTACTTGTGAATTCCGCTCATGAGTAGACCTCGCTTTATGCCCTTGTAATCTTTGTAGACGAGTCCTATCTCGGGTTCTGTTACGATGATGCCTTCTTCAAAACTTTCAATCCATTTAGCTCTATTCATTGGAGCATTCATGTTCACCTTTGTAAGGTTGTAATATTTGACCTGTCTCATCATGAATCTCTTGAGTGCATTTGACCCTAGGTCTTTGTCCTTCTGAGATAGATATGCAAAATTGACGAATCTGTACTCGTAGAATAACTGAATAAGATCTTCCTCAACAATGTAGTACAGATCAGCTTCAGACGCTCTTTGGATCATCCTGTTCTGTCATTCAAACACAAATATCGGATAGAATGTTTTGCCAATGTTATGGATCTCTATTGTTGTAATCCCTATGATAGGTGAATCAGCATGCTTAGCCAATCTCTTTCGGTGTCCATATGGATCATTCTGATCAGCAGACATTTTTTCAGCATCCAAATGTGACCGGAGGCGTCTGTTCCTTTCAAATGTTCAAGTCCTCTTAACTCAAGCTCGTCTATCTTCTTGATTCCTTTCTCACTTCTCCAAATTCGTGGTTTCAGATCTTCTTGGTATGGCATGATTATCTTGACGTTCTCCCAAGGCGTTTCAAACTTTTCTTCTATATTGGAATCACCTGGGCATTTCTTGATCAGATCTTTGACTATTTGAAAATCAGGAAGTGGATCGTCGTAGAATTCTCCTTGAGCATACTCTTCAGGTTCAAGTCCCATTAGCTTTTCAGCAGCCGTCTTCTTAATTTCTCGAATGAAATTCAGCTTCTTGAGAGCTTCTGCGTTGATCAGCTTCTGAAGTTCATCTTTCTCATTGTCTTCTTCCCATTCAAGCAATATCAGATCAGCAACTTTCTCTTTGAGTTCATTTTCCTTTGACTTTGAAGCTTTCTTTCTTGATGATGACGATGGTTGATCAGATTGAGGGATTGCTGAAGTGAGAGTAGATCTAGGCTTTGCAACCTGTGGGACTTGTGAAGTGGAAACCGGAGGGACAGATGTGGGTAATGTAACACCGGAGTCACAGAGACTTACCGTTTTCATCATACTAGAGGTGAACTCGTTCTGATGGCCTGAGAACAATGGTGACTCATATGTTGCATTGTTAGGACTTCCTTCCGATCCTGGGTCTACATCCAAGAAGGATGAGCCTATAGAAGCTCTCGAGATGACACAAAGTCCTAGATCAGTGTTAATGGGCTCGGAAGGGTAATAAACGGTTAAGGCTAGTGAGTCGATGGGTAAGGTGGAGGATGAAGGTTCAAGTTGAGAGGATGTGGATGGTTCAGAGCTAACGGATGATGGGATGATAGATTTTGATGTTGTTTGCTCACAAGTACGTTGCCTTTTGTCCCCCTCATGATGATCCAAATCATCGGTGTCATCATGCTTACCCTTAGGCAAACGTTCTTGATCACGGCAAGTGGTGGTAGGGATGAATGGAGGGGTGAGGGCTAGGATGTTACGTACTTGGATGAGGTGAGGTGGAAGGATGGGTTCACATAGGAGTCTATCAAGGAAATACTCGGATAAATCAAGAATATTCATTTGGGTTGGGTCAGGGTGAGAGGTAGATGGTGCAGATGTGGGTATGATGGTAGTAGGTGTGATGGTAGATGGAAGAGTTCCTATGCAGGGAGTTGGATGTGATCTTTGGTCTGCTACGCCGGTTGGGACTATAGGACGTAGGTCTTGTAAAAGTGAAAGCTTTAAAGCTAGAAGTTCAGACCTCAGATCCTCCCTAGTTAAACTAGCAAAGGAAGAAACACCTGACCTAAAAGAAGTATCAGTTCTCACACCATCACTAAGAATAGCGGTGCCATGGCCTACTGGGGAGTTAAGTGTGGCCGGACTTCCAACCGTCATTGACGTATCTCTGGTTGTTACGACAGGAGGTAATGAGCATGTATCAGTGTGTGCAGAAATAGAAGGTTGTGCCCTAGAAAATGAAAAAAATTATGGGATTTTGGACACAAGACCTAACGTGCATTGGCTAGCAGTGTGGGGCGGTTCACTTATGGGTTCCCCTTGTTGGGTTGAAACGACCATCTGTTGGGAGACGGTCAAGTGGTCTAAGCTTGGCTCAATTTGCGCTATTGAACTCAATGTAGCGTCTTCTACTCGAGAACTGACAACGTCAGAACCTGTACCTATGGGCTAAGTTCGGTGTATTTGGGTGACAGGGGATGATGAAACAATTGTAGTGCTAGAGGAGGACAC